TGGCTCATAAAATGCACAATTTAACGGTGAGCGTCTGTGGAGTGTGCTATAGTTATGAGTCTGAGTTGGGTTCTGATTATCATCTTGATTATCTCACAGATAATCGGGGCTAAGGGGCTTTTATTGATTAGAACATGATTTCAGTGGCCAGGGAAAAGAGTTTTGAGGGGGTCTTTAAAGGGGATTATGAAGGGTAAATATGGGATAAGAATAAAGGATAGAATAGCCTGGTTAACTAGGAAAAGTTAAGGAAAGCCCAGACAGCTTTAAGAGAAAAAACAACTCTCATTCAACTTAAATCTTAAAGGTTAAACTATAGATTTTTTCTCAGGTTTTTTTTACAGACTTTTTCTTTACCAATTTCATTGTTTTTCTCTAAATTATGTTTGCCATCTCCCAAAAACAATGTCAATTCCCATTCCCACGCTAAACAATCACAGATTCCGGGAAACTTTTGATACCAAAAAGGGATCGATTTGACTAGCTTCAGATCTAGCTCCAGCTCCACCTCCTGCTCCTCTCCTGCTCCTCTCCTGCTTCATTGTGCCCCTCAAGTGCGTAATTGCTGACAGCAACAGCTCCTTGCTAACCGGAGATCAAACGTTGGATCGCTCATTACCAATCGAAGAGTAAAAGGTCACGGGGGAAGAGAACTTCGGTAAAGAAAAAGCAACAGCTTTGATGACGCGCCGAACGACGAGGTATTGTTATTCAAATTCAAGTGTCTCCCTTGACTTGAAAAACACAAAAAGAAAAGAAGAAAAGGAAAAACTACTGGGGGAGAAAAGGAAAAACTACATCAAATTGGCGCTTAAATATTTTCTGACCAACTGTGGGAAACAATAATATTGGAACAGCGAGAGATAGAGAACGAAAGCGCATTTACTTCAACTGTAAACTTGGCTTGCAAGGGAAGGTAAAGGCCACTTGAGTTTTGAAGCGTTAAGTGGAAATCAATGCAGGTCTCCTCTCTATCTACAGGTATATATACATATATATACATATATCTCATGCCAACGAAAGATCGAGTGAAGCAATTGACCAAAAACTGTCGAACTGACGATCGGCAAGCGGTACACTTGTTCGGCTTTGTTGTTGACCATGTTTTCTTAACCGTCTGAGCCCCTTCTTTTTCTCCTCCACGGCGGTAGGTAAAAGAATATACCTACATATATATCGGGTTCGAAATCTGTTTGGGAACAACATTTTTCAACATTTTCCTCAGCCTCAGCCTCAGCTTCAGCTTCGTCGGCGTCTCTTGGAAATTTGTTTGTGGATGGCAACGGAAATGCATTTATTTGCTGACGTCTGAAGAGGGGCTCGCCGCCGTCCCTGTCTCCCTCTGGGGCGTTAATTGATGAATCTGCGCGATCGGACCAGGCATCAGCAGCAGCAGGTTCAATGACTATAGCCCCAAAAAAAAGACCATGCTATTTCTTGGAATTTCATTTCCTTGACCAAGTCGAACTTTCTGTGCTGCACGTTTTCCTCCTCCGTTTTCCCTTTTGGGTGTTCATGTTAAACACATCTATTTATATTTTAATGATGTTTGTAATGATGGTGCTAAATATTTCCCACATTATTAGCACCTCCTCGTCTGGGTTCGGATTTTACAGATTTTTCTTTCAGGCGGCAAAGTCATTGAGGGATTTCTACTGTCCGAAGCAGGTTAGGTATCAAGATTTCTTGGCCACATATAGGTAGAAAAGGATTAACAAATTTGTTTAAGAAAAGGGTATGAAGGTGAAGGTAAGTCAAACAGGGAAGAAGTTGAATGGATGGGTGAGGAATTTATATAATAAATAGCTGAGCTTAGGTAGGGGTAAAGGGATTATAACTGAGGCCTTAATGTAGTTTTATAAATAATGAAAACTAAAAATTGTATAAAGAGTATCTTACTTGATACAATTGATAAAATAATTCCCAAAAATTATAATATGATATGGTTTTTTATCATATTTCCTTTACTCATAGAATTTATATTTATACCCTTGCAGGGTATTATAATTTCAGTCAGAGGCTAGTAACGCATTGAAGCAGTCATTTCCGACCCTATAAACCATATATATTCTTGATCAGCATCAACAGGCGAATCTATCTAGCCATGTCCGGAAAGAAATAATTTTTGGTTCATTTTTTGAAAAATTGATAAGGGGTTACATCATTAAAATTCTCAAAAATCGGCCTAAAATTCGATTTTTTTAAATTAAAAATTTAAGATGCAGATTTCTTAAGCTAGAAAAAACTAGCATAGAAATGCTTACAGAATTGATTTTGATGCTTTTTTGGCTAAGTTATGATATTTTTAAACTTTGGTTTTTCCAAAAATTATCATAGAAAATATGGAAAATATCCTTTTAAAAATATTTAATATTTTCGGTCTTCTTGAAGGGAATTATGATTTTATTAAGTGAAGCAATCATTTGCGACCCTATAAACCATATATATTCTTGATCAGAATCAACAGGCGAATCTATCTAGCCATGTCCGGAAAGAAATAATTTTTGGTTCATTTTTTGAAAAATTGATAAGGGGTTACATCATTAAAATTCTCAAAAATCGGCCTAAAATTCGATTTTTTTAAATTAAAAATTTAAGATGCAGATTTCTTAAGCTAGAAAAAACTAGCATAGAAATGCTTACAGAATTGATTTTGATGCTTTTTTGGCTTAGTTATGATATTTTTAAACTTTGGTTTTTCCAAAAATTATCATAGAAAATATGGAAAATATCCTTTTAAAAATATTTAATATTTCCGGTCTTCTTGAAGGGAATTATGCTTATGGCTTCCTTTCTTGTTTTAAAACTAAATAAATACGATATCCCACCTTAAACAGCGGCGCTACAGCCTCTTCAACTTCAAAGGTACATCTTAGTATCCCAAAGATACAAAGATACCGCCTCGTATTTGCTGGCTGAGAACCTGAACATCTCCGATTGATCTCGCTGATGGCGCTGTAGCCTTCAACGATGCTGAACAATGCTAAACATTTTTAATGAACTACAAGGCAAACAAGCGAAGAAGAGTCCGAGTCCAACTTCTACATAAGATAATACCTTATATATCATATAGACTCCAAGCAGAGTGCTTGCCCAAAGGTAAGGAAACAATGGACTTTAGGGACTTGGTATTCATCATTTGATCAAGAAATTAACGGTTTCGTTACTTGTTACATGCATCCCCCAGGGGCAAGCCAAGGCTGAGGTGTTGATTGGGCAACGCCCCGATCTCAGGAGAACCACAGACTATATAGAAGGGGAACCGAAAGCAGAACTGATTGCGTTCTTAAATTTATGACCGCACATGATGAGCTATAAAATGTTTTATGGCCAAGGGTCCCTGACGGTCCCCCTGGATGCAGTTGCAGTCCTAGCTACATCCCAAAATATATATCCCGTGCCACCTCAACAATTTTCGCCTTCTGTTGGTCTGAAAATTAAATCGTGTGATTTATTGACGTGTGGCCCGCTTCTGTTTTGGGAAAATGGAAAAGGGGAAATGGTAGAATGTTTGTGGAGTTCTTTTGGGGTGGTGAAAGTTCCACCTCCCCGGAAAACATACACAGAAATTGATTGAGATGTCAGGATTCATTAGTAGACATCCCTTGAATTATTTTTGTTTTTTTTTTTCCAGATAATCGGGGATTTGGTTGACCAGAGACTTTGGCCTAAGGGAAATTCCCAGCCGAAACAAGTGGGATAAACCCGCATTTGGTGAGGTCTAGGGATAATCCTGTACTACCTGAGCTTGGTCATGCAAATGAATGAAGTGAGGGTCAGAACAAGAGGGCGTGCAAATTGACAAAAGGAACTTTTCGCACATTAGCCTTAAGTGTTTGTGTGTTCAGAGTCCTGCAGGACCAGCTGGAATGGTTTTTGCACCTGTTGTTACTGCATTTTCCAGCATTTTTCATGCTTCTTCCGAACCGCCATTGTCTCTGCTGTTATTTTCCTATTATCCTGCTGTGTGTAAGGACAACGAAGGAGGAGGAGGAGAAGCCTTCGTAGCTCGTGCTGGTCCTTGTCTCTGTTTTTTCTTTTGGGTTTCAGGCCAGCAGCAGCTGCAGCGGCTCTAATTGGCCATAGTACGAGACCCAAAAAGGTTGTTTTTCTGTTATTTTTTTCGTCCAGTGAAAGTTGACCCAAAGCGTAGCAAATTTTCCTTTTGTTTCCCTCTTCTTTTTGCAATAAATTACGCATTTTATGGCTGCTGACCCACAAATGTTGCTTCAGGGGAGGGGGAACTCCGAGAGGCTGATCGAATATTTATTATTTAATAGGTTTGCCACTGAATAAAGTTTGCTGATTATGTTGTTAAATTAATTTGTTGATTTTTTATAAGCCTAAATACATAGTGAGATTAGTGAAAAGGTGATATAAGCCTAATTTAAGCCCTAAGTAAACTAATGGCATATTTGCTTTGTAAAAAATTTTTAAAGAACGAGCTGAGCCCAGGAAAAAGTTTTTTTTACTTCTAGGCTCTGCCCTTTCAACTAAATAAAATATTTAAAAATTCAAAACACAAACCAAAAATATTTTTAAACCCTTAAAATAAATTATAGACCCTTCCTGCTTCATTAAAAATTCCCTTCTTCACTGTTACCTCATCTCGAGTAGCTTTCGTCACGCTCTTAGCTGACAGTTGGCAACATTATTATTAATAATAATAGTCAACAATTGTGGCACTTTCTGTTACCCTGTTTTTTGGTCAAGTAGAGCCCCTCCTCAACCCCTGCATTGTCATGGAAATGAAAGCAAACAAACCGAAAACTACTGTAAATTGTTGAAATATTTCTGTGTTTCTTGGTTATATTTATTTTTGTGAAAGGTTTTTTCGGAGGAGAAAGAAAGAGTTTTGGAAATTGTAAATTAGATGGCAATGTGAAGGCATTTCCTGCAGACGTGTCAATAAACAAAAAACAAGACGCGGGGCACTTGAGCTGAGCTCCGCTGAGGTGTTTTTAGGGGGTTAAGTAGTAAATTTATTGGAAATTACTTACGGATCTGTGAAGTGTCTGTCACTGAGACTGTTCCTTCCGCAGCTAGGTGTATGGCTTTGTTGTGTGCACACTGTGACATTATTACGAAATCTTCTACTGTACATAATGCACCTGAAATCACCACCTGGAAAAGGGATCAAGAAATATATTTATTAATAAATGAACTACATTTTTCTCTATGTACTCCCAGCACTCTTGTATTTTGCTCTCCCATTTCCAGCCTTATCTTTGCGCTATCTAACTGCGGGCCATCAATAATTGTATCTATCAGATACGAATTGATATCGAAGCTAAATTGCATACCAATGTTTACACCTTGTCACGACAAATACTTTGATACCGTGCAAACAAAGCACAAAAGTATTTCATGTCATCTCTGGGGAGGGGTGTGGGGTGTCTAAAGGGTATGCCGGTAGCCTTTACCCTTCCTCTCTTCTTTCGGTAATTTATCATGTTTGATTAGTTGTGTCTCTCTTTTGATATTTTATTACATTCATTAATAATCGGGCGTTTGATTTAATGAATTTATTGTTTCGGCGCTTGTGTGTGCTCCCCTTTTCCCCCTCTAAAAAATATTATAGGTGTTATTGTGCCAGGTCAGGTTATAAATCAAAAGAGGGGACCCAGATTTACCTGCCTCAGGTGCTTACATCTATAACTTCTAGGCGACTTTGGCCATGTAATGCCGCATTATTATTACGGTAGCTCAAGTGCAAAATTTTCAAGATTTATTCTGCAATTTATGGGGGACACTTTGAGGGGAAACTGTAAAAAGTTGTAAAGTTTCAATGGCATTTTATCTCCAGCTTTTTTTTACGTCTTTCTTTTTAGTTGGGCTATATTTTCTTTATTTATTTAATGATGAATGGGAGTAGACTTTGACCATGGAATTTTTATTGCATTTTCCTGAAGCTTTATACTTTTTACAAGATTTATTTCTAGATTTATGAGACTAGGTAATTCCCAGGAAATTGTAAAAGCCTCAATGGGGTTTGCTCTGCTTCTTCCTATCTCTAGTTATTTTTAGTGTAAATATTTGGCAAAGCTCTATAGGTATTTATGCAACTATTTTATTATTATATTTATTTGTATATCATTTTCCATACATCACCTCTCCCTTTTCCCTCGCACATGCCACACCTTATCTCCATTCATAATTTCATCAACCCAGAAAAAAAAAATAAAACGGGCCTTGCTACGCTTTATTTATTAGAACTCTGTCGATAATTACAAAATAATGCGTTTGCTTGCCGCCAACCCTTGGCTTTTTTTACCACTTCACTTTACTAGAGGCCTGAACCGCCCACTGCCTCACCCCGCCCAGCTGCCACCCACCACGAGTATCTTAAAAAACACTTAAAGAAAATATTGAATTTAAAAATAATGAAATATTTAAATAAAATTTTATGATTATAAAGCATTTCTAAGACAATCAATTTTCTTTTACAAATAATTCTTAGCTTCGAAATGGCTTAGCTATTACATTCTAAAAATTACTGCGTTTTCTTTCCGTGTAACATGTGCTTGGGAAAATATAACCTGCACATATTGCTTACTGGGGGATCGAAACGAGGTTACCCCGGGCATAAATTTGAGGCACCTCCTCGATAGCTCGATAGCATTTACAAAGCGAGCGCCTTTGATAAGATTTCAAAGCTACCAACTGGAGAGTTATTTCGTTCAGTGGAATGGGCAGGGGTGGCGGGTTTTCTCTTGAGTTTTTTCCAGTATTGAGGAAGTGCTTACTGGCCTTTGTAACTTGGTTAATTTGTGGCCCCAACAGTTTGATAGTTGTGAATGAACGGGGGCCTCTGAGTTAGAGGCTGTGCTTGGCTTCGAGGGACCTTGATGAGAGTTTTTTTTTAGTGTTTTATAGATTCGAGGGTATTGCCATTCGAGTGGCTAAGCACGAGGGCCAACCGGTGGCGCTGTAAAGTTAAGGGTCTTCCCCGCATATCGCAAAACGACGCCTCAATCACTTCAGAACTTAAAAAGTTGGTTAGCAAAGGGAACCCGTTAAGAGATAACAAAGGGTTGGAGGGACTTTGAAAAATATATAAAAAATATATATAACGATATTGAAGCTTATAAGTGCGTAGAATATTTTTGAGCATGTTTTGGCATTCTAAAAATTGTTAAGAAAGTGTGAAATGAGAGCCAGAATTCAGGAAAACAAAGCATTCAAAGAAAGGCAGATGCTATATCTTTAGTATTCTGATTAATTAATATTAATATTAATCAAAGTTTTGGCTATTCCAATTCATATTTAAAATTTTAGTGAATAAATATATCGTAATCCTTATTTTAGGAAGTCGCCTTGTAATTAATTTTAATATTATTTTGTTATAATTTTCTAATAGAAACTCCGCAAAGTTCGATTACACTCCACCTAAAAAAACTGTAACTTTAATCGATGAACAGCACCAGCACCCTTAACCTTCCCTTTCGGCCAGACCTTCATAAATCATTAAATATTTATATACTTTTATACTCACAATAAAAAACAGCAGTCTCTCTAACTGATTCGACATTCATTCGGCGATTAATGTACATAATTTTAACCCATTTACTGCCGGCTCAGAGCAGTAAACTAAAATTCAGTTGGCGGCGCGGCTATCGGCTGACATTGGTATCGTCGAGTGGTTATCCCCGTGCTTGACCGATAATTTCGATAATTCCAATTAAGCACATTCCCCATTCACAAATATTATTTAAATATATAATTATTTTTGCAATATTCTGGAGTATTTCTTGGCGTTCAGGCCGAAATGAAATCGAAACTCATTTCTGGCTCACACAACACACGCGTGCACACACGCGACATATAACTTCCTTCCTTCCGGTAGATAATAAAATATTTCTAATTTTATTTTTATTATCCAAAAAGGGGGCACGCTTTTTCTGGTTAACGTAACACTGTATAATGTAACGTAAGCTAAACGTAAGCTTTAAATCGGGCGTTGCCTTAGCGTTGCACGTCTTGGCAGGGCGATTGAATTATCGAGACTAAACCGAATCGAAACGTGCGACATTTTTCGGTTTTCTGTTTTTTTCTTCCTTTCCACACACAGCAGCAGCGGCAGCAGCACGCAACAGCCACTTAACAGCGGCACAACCACAACAGTTTGGAAAACTTGCGCATTTGTAGTGCTCTCTTATCATTTTCTTTCTGTTCAAGGAAATGTTGGATCAGCAAAAAAAATATATTTAAAATAATAATGCTTATATAAACATTTAAATTGCATAAAATCATCATATTAAACCTAAAAGCATGGACATAATTAAACAAAAACAATTTTAAGTGCCTCTTTTATTGCGTAGCTTGCATCCTGGCTTTCATTTGGCTTGAATTATTATCATTACTTTTTTTGTATAATATTTTGTGTGACTATCCTTTTTCACCGAAATATATTATATTTTTGTTGTTTTTAATTTAATTTCTGACGGGAAAACTAGCGGAAATGACATCGCCATGGCTGTTGCAGTGCCAAGCCCACTTATTGCATGCGATAATTACTGCTAGAGCCGCTTGCAATATGCAATGTTAAGTTAGCAGCTGTTAACGTTCGAACCTGTTGTTCGAACTGTTAAAGTAGTGGGAGTTAGTTGGGCTATGTTAGTGCACTGCAATGTTAACTGCTTGCATTTTGGGGTTTAAGAGGAATATTTTAGGATTTAGCTTAAAATTGATATTATTTAAAGTTTTTTTATTTTATTTAGAGTATTGTTTGTTTTAGGGGTTTTAAATGTCTAATATTAAAGGCTTCTTCTAGAAAATTCCCTTGATTTCATTATTTATTATTTTTAAATTAATAAAAAATAAATTATATATTATAAATTATTATTTTTAAATTAATAAAAAATAAATAGACCTTTAGTAAAGTCATTAAGAAAAATTAATTTATTTGTATATTAAAAAATTATTATTTAAATAAAATATATTATAAATATTAATAAATCGACAAATTATTAGTATTTATTTATTAAGAAATGTTAAGCCTTTCTTCTAATAAATAATATTTTTTTTTCATTCTAAGCCTTTTCCTTCTAAGGAAAACCACTTCTCTTAATTAAAAAATGTCTCTTTGCCTTCCCTAACTAAACCTCATTCAATTAAATCCCTTTTAATTGCATATTTGGACACCTTTACAAGCCAATAGTTATTTAATAACAAGCACAAACTAATTAACAAAGCTTATTAAATTAACTAGCCAAGTTTTCTTTGTCACTGAACCAAGAAAGTGGCTTCATTAGCTTACAAACCTTTCAAGATGTTGCTTCTTAAAATCTTTCTTATAATAAATACCAGCCTAAAACTCATTTCCACAAATTCAGAGAATATAATCAACGAATTAACTTTAAAGTTAAATATAAAAACTCACATTTATTATGGTTTCAGCAAGGAGACCTTCGAGGAACTCAATTTGAAAACAAATCAACCCAAATTACTGATTTTCAACAACATAAGTGAAGAGTTTAAGACAGAGCACGATGACCCTGTGCTGGTAATAATGAATTTAGAAGCTGATCTCGATTTTAATCTGGTGCCAATAGAGGTGCTAAAATCCTATTTTACAGATAGGCAATATAATGATATATTGCTTATGGATACAGACAAAAATGAAGAGAAAAGTTATATGGAAATAAGCAAAGTTTATTGGGATGCTGGATTTTCTTATGTATTAATTTACGCCTCTCAAGAAGAGCAACTTTGGTCACTGAGGCCCTATCCCTACTTGGAGATCAAGCAAAGTAACTTGGAAGAATATATAAAATCCCGTAATAATCGCAATTTAAGGGGCTATCCCCTGAGAGTGCTGGTGACCAATGATCCACCCCATTGCTTTGTGGACGAGGAAGAGCCCCCGGAGTCCAAGGATCGATACAAGGGCAGCATCATAGAAATATTCAAGCTGTTTGCTGAGCAACTCAATGCCACCTTCCAGGCGGTACCCTTTCCCGGCCTCCGGAGATACTCCACCTACGAGTGCCTCAACCTGGTGCAGGACAACGAGACGGATGCATGTGGGAGCATCTTCATCAGGACGTACAAGTATCCCACCAGCCACCCAGTTCGCCTCAATCGCGTGGCCATAATGGCTCCCTTTGGCAATCCCATCGACAAGTTCTACTACTTCTTCAGGCCCTTTGACTTCTATGTTTGGATTGCCATTGGTTTGATGGTGGTCTACATGTGCCTAATGGGTTCCTTGCTCCATCGCTGGCTTTATGGCAGCTGGGATGTGGGTCAGTACCTCCTGCTGGCGGTGCAGACTCTGCTGACCAGGGAACTCTCACTGCCGCAGTGTTCTGGAGGCTCCAAGCTAATGCTGTTGCTCCTGCTCTTTGCCATTGGTTTTGTTTTGTCCAATCTGTACGTGGCTTTGCTCTCCATGATGCTCACCACGAAGCTCTATCAAAGACCCATCGACAACCTGGCCGACTTAAAGGCGGCCAATGTGAACATATTGCTGCAGCAGCACAATATTCGACCCAATTCCATTTATGGAAGTTCAGAGGAGCTCAGGGAGCGATTCCTACTAGTGGAGGAGGAGCTGCACATGCAGCTTAGGGATGTCCTGGACCCCAACTATGCCTATGTGGACTCGGAGGATCGCATGGATTTTTATCTCTACCAGCAAAAGTTCTTGCGTAGGCGACGCATGAAGAAGCTAGCCAATCCGGTGGGCTACACCTGGGCTGTCCAGGTGATACGACAGAACTGGGTGCTGGAACGGCTGTACAATGACCACATCCAGCAACTCTTTGAGAGCGGATTGCAAGACAAACTGGTGGAGGATGTTCATGAGTTGGCCGTAAAGGCAGGCTTCCTGCACTTTTTCCCCACACAAAGCCAAACCATCGAACCTTTGAGGCTTGAGGATATTGTGATGGCAGCCATGGTCTTGGGCGGTGGCCACGCCCTCGCCGGGATCTGTTTCCTGGGTGAGCTCACATACTCATTCCAATCGCAATCGTTGTTGCTTGAATCACGGGAATGGCAATAGTTCCGGCTGGCAATAAAGACGGTTAACACCCACGCCATAAAGGCGGAAACACCCCTAAGTGTATCGCAATTTAAAGCGATTAGGGTCACAATGAGGACCCGCATGCGACATCCGTAGCGGCCATTGGCAGGTCACTCAAAGAAAAATATTTGGATTAATTAATTGTTAAAGGATTCAACGGAAATTAAATAAACTTGCAAGATAGGTCTTGCTTTAAAGTTACAAATTATTTTTACTTAAAGAACTTCTTCATTTTCTCCTTTTTATTAAACACAATATTTTCCTTTATCTAAAAACCTCTCTTTTAATTTCTCTCAGTGTCCCAGAAGTGTGTCATGTGGGTGGGCCCTTACTCTACTTCTCCCAGCGGAAGTTGCCGAAAAATGCAGCAGTTGATTGAACATTGATTGACAATGGCTTCAGGACAGGATGAGGGGCGCGGCTCGGTCCACTGAGAGACAATCGATTCATGGACATGGACATGGACATGGCTGAGAGGACATAACCAGCGAGGAGGAGGAGGTGGTAGCAGGAGGTGGAGACTGCTCCTTGGGCAATCCCCCTTTTGTTCAGCGAAACAATGGCGATTTGTGCACCGTGAGCAGTCGGTGAGCTCCTCGCTCTTTTGTGGCCCTTCTTTGCCTGTCCTTGTAATCCCCGATAATGGGCCATTGTCAGTATCGATGTGGGATGTGTCCGCTGTCCCCTGTTCCTTGTCGATGCCTGATTTTCGACGCCTGCCATTGACGACCAATGACAGGCACTCGGTTCGCCACGATGCTTGATTGCTGGACGCACTTTGGCACAGACACCGATGGGGATTGGCTTGGCTTTGGCTTCAATTGGATTGCCCCACTCCAAGGCCCACTTAAGTCGGGTTAAATTAGGTATTTAATAAGGGAATCCAGAGGGATAAAGTGTGAAAAGGGAGGTAATTAGGGAATTTAAAAGGGAATTTGGAAAGAGTGTCCAAGGGTATTTATTTAGAATTGATATAGAGAAAGAGATATAAGATACTCAATTAAAGATATATCTTCAGCCTTAGTTACCCCCAAATGTTATTTATTTTTCCCATAATGTCAAGTACTTTCTCGAGAAGTTACCATCTGGTTAATTAGGATTATTTCTCCCTCGCTTTTCCCATTTGAAAACCAAAATGTCATTTCAATTTCAACAACATTCGGCACTCGAAATGATAATTACACGTTTCGCATTTGAAGTGAAAATAACAGAGACCTTAAGTAGGATTAGTTTTTGGGTTTATTGTCACTTTTGGCCCCTTCAATCAAGCGATATCACACGAAGGTCCAAAGGTTCGCCTACAGAACTTCTTAGGCCACAATTTCATCACCTTAGTGACTCAGTCTTGGCCAATTCTTTAAATAAGAATTCTTTTCATAAGTAAAGTAAACAATTACTTTTCACTTTTCTTGCACTGAAACTTATCAAAAGCTGTTGCCAACTGATCAAGTCAAGTTTCTCGTAAGCGAATCTGGCCAACAAAATATTGGCCAAAGTCACGGGCCCACGCGATTGCCAATGTTGCTATCGCTGTGACGTCACAAGGAATGTGCCGCCAAGATTGCCACCGATTAGATTCGGTTACAAACAACTCGGAGTCAAACTATGTTAAGTTGTCAAGTGATAGCCGAGGGCTGTTCATTAGCGAAATATAAAAGTTCTTGGCCGCAGCTGTCATCGAGATTGCTTTTGCTTTGCTTATGTGATATTTGAACCTCTTCAAAAGCTGAATTTCATGTATATTTATAGGAAAATTCTTGGGAAAATTCAGCAGAGCGGAATTTTTTTTGTTTTGGCATTCCAAGAGTACAGCTAAGGAATATTTAAAGTGGGTTATCTAATCCAAAAGGTATGGGATATACATAGCTACTTGCTTGTGTAATCTGTGATTGGAGGACTTGAAACTTGATTTTTAAAGCAATGAAATTGTTTTCTAAAAAGTGATATAGGGGGAAATAATTTTATGTAAAATTAAAGGATGCATTTTTCTTTTATTAACTTTAGAGGCAATTATTCTTGATTTAGAAAACAAAATTAAGTAACTTTTAGGGTAAGTAACTATTTAAAAGTATATATTTACCCGCCCCACCGCTAGATAACCGCTATTAACCAGGTTAACGTCGAGGTCAAAACATAAAAAAAGCCAAACAACAAACCAAACAAAACCCAAAACTCAAATCAATCTTTATTTTGGCAACTTTTTTGCTTGGCCCATCAAGTGGATACCGCAAAAAGCTAATTAATTTTTTGCGCTGCCCATTTCGCCGTCAACGGCAGCCGAAAACGCTCATCAAACTAATTGGCCAGCGTGGGTGGCCAACTCTACTCTTAACTTGGCTTTAATTGCATGAGCCGTTCCCTGGTCGAGAACCTGCCAAAGACAGGCATTTAAAAGAGACGCAGCTCATTGTCTGCCTAATGGCTTCCAAGCCAAGGCCCAGCGTTGATTTTCTGTATATATATTTTTGTTATTTTTGTTTTGTTGCTATTTTGGCCACTTGGCCATTTACCGTTTAGGCCTTTTTGACTCTGGCGTGTCAAGCCAGCCCAAGCTGCTTAATAAACTTAACAATTTAATTTGCCAGTTTTAGACAAGAAATTATTTAGTTTTAGTATTTATTTATTTTTCAAGAGAGAAAAAGGTTGGATTATATGAGGGAAAAATTAAGAAACCTTTGTTAGGGGAGTGGTTATAATTATAAGAAAACTAAAAGTGAGCGAAATTCGGAGAAACCTTTATATCCGGGATTCTGAAAATGTCTTTACTCGTTTTCTTCTATCAAAATTAATCTATAAATTCCACCGGAAATGCTTCTTTCCTGATCATAAAAAATTGCTAATTATTTACAGTTGATTACACACCCTGTGGCTGTGGCAACTTTGCACGCTGCTGCTGGCCCCACTTGAACTTCGTGGCCAACTGGTGACCAGCTCCTCCACCCTCTACTTCCCCCCGCCGCTCTAGGCGCCACGATATGCTGTCAATCAACGCGGGTGGTGTGCCCTCGGTGGGTGGTTGTGGCATTGGTGCCAAGCAGCGGTGTATCACCCAATCAATAACAATGACTGATTACGATTAAGCATTTGGCCATTTGGCTTCTTCGGCGAGCCTCCAATTTGGCCAGAAGGAAATGCGAAAATGCTTGGCCCATGAGTAACTCGACGCCTATGAGATTTCTGGCCTGTCGTGTGGCCAAAAAAGTTTTAAGGAAATAGGTAGTTGGACAGGTGAAAGTTCCCTGGGAGGTTCTAGAGAGAGATTGATGGGGCGGAAGGCGACCTTCAAGTGAGGAATTATTATTGTTTTGGGGTATTGTGATTATTGTTACAACATTATTTTGGGCTTAAGGGATATTTAGACATTATTATTTTTTCAGGGAAATATATATAGTTACTAAGAATTATTACAAAAAAAATCTTTAAAAACAAGAAAGGAAACTAACTTCGGGAAGCCGAAATTTGTATACCCTTGCTGTTTGCCATAGGATCTGTCACTCAATCAAAAACCGATCATAACTAAGCCAAAAAAGCATCAAATTCAATTCGGAAAGCTCCAAACCCAATTGTATAAGAAAACCCTTAAATAATAATAAAGAAGGTATTCCTTTTACAAAACCAACCAATTTTCTCTTCTAAAAAATAATGCAATTCAGTGACTCCCTTTTAAAAGCCCAAGATGACCAGGCAATTATTATAAAGTACCTATAGCTTATCAGTAAATTGGGGACGACTGAGGCTAAATAAGTCCCCAACAAAAACGTATATAGTATACAGTATATATATATAGTATATTCCCACCCTCCCTTTGCCAGGATGACGTGCGAATCTGGCATTAGAGCGCCACAGCTGTCGGTGATTTACAATCTCCTTTTCGACGCCGCGGAAACCTCATAAAGATTGTCCCGAATAGCAAAATCAAAATAAATCGTAAATAAATCGAGGCGAAATTCCTTTAGCGGTGCACAAAGATTCCATGACACTTGGCTATATCAGATCGTCTCCAGTGGCATCCGCCTTTCTATAACGGCGGACTTTGCTATCGGATCGTATATTACTACCTTATCGCCGGAGAGTCACCTTCTCCTGCTATTTTCGATTCGGCTTCGGCTTTTGGGCCAGGCTAATGAGCTCTAATTGATTCCCTTTCCGATTGGTTTACGACTAGCGTATAATATCTGGACAGGATCTTGCGGTTTCCTTGGTTTCGGTGTCGAGGCACGTGTCGTCCAGCCGTATCGAATTTTTTTTATTTGTGTGCGTTTCGACCGCAAAGGCCAAAAGACCACTGAAATTTACACTCGTACTTGCCGTTTGTTACCAAACATGTAAACAAAAAACCGCAAAGCCAACAAAATATTCAGCCCACACACACGGTGCACACACGGTGCACACACGGAAAACGTGGCCTGGGGCCGATTCATGTTTGACAAGTAATAAAAGTGATTAAAGCAAATCTAAACACTTGCTTTGGGTTCTCCATGAGCTGGGAAGTGAGTGAGTTATCCACTCGACTCTGGGGGTGGTGCAGGGGTCGAATCATTTGTTAATCAAAATGCAAATGTAATCAATAGAACGGAAGTGCCTGCCCCGTGGCATAGACCTGTAATTTGGTTATTGTAGTAAATGTAATAACATAATGGATTAGGGCGGGGGAAAGGGGAAAAGGGGGGGTGTACAGTGGGCTAATAATTTGAGATATTAAATCCCTTCTTTTAATATTATTTTAATATTGCTTTAATATAATTTTAAAATTATTTTAATATTTATAGTGAGGCTCTAGAAAAGCTGTATGAATATTTAATTCTAGAATATATATCATCATTTTGCAAGCAAAATATCTCTTTTAAATTCTTTCTTAAAAATTAAATCTTTAAATATATATGAAATATATTCAATGAATTGAATTTTATTCTTTTAATTTTTATTTCAGCCACTGTAACTTCCTTCAAAAAAAAGGCAGTCAAGTCTCTCCCCCCTTT